TCATAGCCACTGACTAAAGACAGTGTCTGTATGTTTTGTATTAATACACTTGTTCCAGCCTTGTCAGATTGAGCCAAATCATCTAACTTTTTAACCCTTGCCAACCATTTCCTAGCAATACATTCATTAGGAACACATATGACTGTGGAAGCCAGCTGGATTACGGTTTCTACCACAGAACCTTGGTGTTCCTGGAATGGAAGGAAATAGTTTGGGCACAGTTCAGACACAACAGATCTGAAGTGACGGCAAGTAGCTTACAGAAACATTAGGGAAAAGGGAAGTAGTGAATTTAATGTGTGTGGCTGTGTATCTTAAAGCATCATCCTAAGAACCCTTAGAGGAAGATCATTCCCGGTATTGAGAATTGAGTATTTAATTTGATGTGAAGAAGGAAGAAAGTCACAGTATTATTCACATAGATTTTTCCCCCATGTTAACACTGACAGCTGCCTTCAGCTTAACTAATTTTCTTCAGGCAAAAGTTCTACATATTGCACTTATTAACTAGACAAGCTTTGAGAATTTTTTCAAAACATTGTAGGTAAATGCTTCAATTATATAACTATATGAACAGATTCACATATGCAGCCGCTAAAAGCTCCCCCACTCCCCTCCCCCTCAAAAACCCAGAACTCTCAAAACAGGCTATAGTTCGTACTTTAAATTACTGGAGGACTGAAGAGAGTCAAAAATGAGGATAACTATTCTAAAATGAAGATGATGGTCAAATGGCTTCTATTATTCAATGATTAGTTGGTTCCACATTCTTTTACCCCTGTATTTTATTCTTATAATCTTATCTACAGCAATTGCACTGTGGATTTGTGACACATTTCTGTGTTTTATTGTATATAATAAAAGCCAAACAGACTGTAATCATCTGATGATTAGAAAGAATAGCTGCAACCACCACTAAGACAAACAACTAGGGCCATTCTGTGCACAGAGAGAGCGGGAGCTTGGCGCAGGTTACTAACTTCAGAAAAAATATTTTTTTTCTTTCCTACTTCAGTCTTGTGTTGTAATGATTCAGAGTACAACCTACTCACAATATCAGACTGCCCATTAAAAGTAACTGCAACATCCATGCTCTTCCTGAGCTAAATCTGTGTCTTCCTGCCACAGAGTTTATCCCAAAGCTTTTACCACTGCACGTTCTCAGGAACAGAAAGCAACAATTTTGGACAACAAGCAACAGTTGAGCAAAAATCAGTCCCTCTTGGACAAGGAGAGTTATGACTTCTCCCTGATGATAGGAACTGTCACGCACAGAACTCTAACGGCCTCATGATTAAAACCGTTGAGGGGCGAGCATCATGAAAATGGTGACCTGTCATATCAGCTATCATATCAGCAGAAGAAAATCTGCTTTTCTTCATCAGAAAGGGCAGACATACAGAATGTAAATTCACTATGCCTCTGTTAGGTAGAAATCCCCTTATGTAAGGAAAATTCACTGTCAGTTCTATCATCTGAATAGTACGGCACAAAACAGCCAGAAGACTGCAACCTTCTTTTTTGTTTGTTTGGTTTGCTGGGGGATTATTTTGTTCATAAGCTTTTTCTTTTGTGAGTCATAACAGAAATCAAACAGAATGTACAAGACCTAAATTCCTGCAATATTGCAGAGAACTGAATATCCATTTTATCAACCAAATAACCTAAAGTTCTTCTGAGATACATGCATGGATTTCCGCATAAATTGCAGATTGTGTTCACTTTGGAAAGGACACAGTGGGATTCTTTGCATTTTTCCCAGAGAAAGGATACAGTACAGATGAAGTAGAACTATTGCTAAAAAAAAATAAATATCATTAGCTATATTTTAAGCAATGCAGAGATAAACTTCAGAAATTTCAAGCACATCACAATTGTAAAACCAGGACAAAACCCACAAAAATCACTGGAGAAATACAGGAAAAATATCAGCAGTTTATTCTAAAAAACCTGTAATTTGAACTTTGTTTCCAAAACCAAAACATACAGAACACAGCAATCATGCTTAAGACGGTGAGAATCAGCACAACAATTAGGGCTATGCATGTTAAGGCTGTTCCAGGAGAGCTAGGTCAGGATGGCTGGTCACAAACATAGAGCATTTGCATTACATCAAATTCTATCCTAGTAAATACTGTAAAGTTGAGTTGCAAGTGAAAACAGAGTGGGGAAAAAAAGCCATGTAGGATCCCTCCAATTCATATTCAGGAAAACTTTTAAAGTGAGACTAGTCTGGTACCTTCAATGTATTTGTAGAATGTGATATTCATTCTAGACCGAAAGACCTCACAGAATAGCTTGAAGTGTCAGAACTGACTTTGGAGAAATCCGAGTGTGGAGGTCAGGTCAGCCAGATAACATGCAAAAACTTGCCATAGCTTCCATATACATCTTGGATATTTCTAATTCACCGCTAACACTGCTTTTCTGTTACAGAACTATGTTAAGCAAAAAACTCTTATATGGCTGGATATGGTTTTGTTTTCTTTTTTCCTATATGTGAGCAATATTTGAATTCCTATGAGATTTAAAAGCTGCTAATTATCTTAAACTAATGTACTGCAGCATATTCTGTCATTGGGCCAGTGAGCTGACACTACAGAGCATTACAGCCTACAGGGATGATGGAGAAAATTCTGGCATGCTAAAGAACATGAAGCTTAAGCAGCAGGTAGAGGAACTGAAAACTGACAACAACCACTGCAGGTAACTCATGAGGTCCTTTCATACACTACAGGAGGGGGAGAAAGATCCTGGTAAAAACGGTACACTCTTGCATAGAAAGTCTAACAGGCTGTAGTTTTTACCTAGTTTCAGTCATAGGACAGAACTAAAGGATCAGGTAACTGTAAGGTATAGAGTTATAATACATTAAATTTCATGTCTTATTTTATTCTGTCCTTTGGCATATAAGCTTTGTCATATAAACTCAACAGTTGAGCACTCTACAGCAAAAATACTGATTTGTGTGTTTCAAGATGGCAGAAACACAGCGGAGTAATAAATAGTATGGAATGGAGTCAATAAAACCCCTTAACTTTTCTACAGAAGGCACAGGAAAAAAGATTAAATAATTTTATAAGAGATAAGAAATACAAGACATTACTTATAAAGAGATATTACTCTGATAACTGGTATCTTACTTGGCCTGCGTGTTGTTCATAGTTAAACTCTCTGTGCTTTAGTTATTTCCTCAACTTGTCAATTATTTATACTCACTTCACATCAAACAAGGTACACTTTTTTTTTTCTCCACGGAGTTTGTTACTGAATTTAAATTTCATACAAACCCTAGCTATGCTATTTATTTTGGTTAAAAACCACAATATAACTTTTTCAGAGGGTCGTATTTTCTAAACCAAAAAGCCCAATGTGTCCTCAAAAGTGCACATATCAGGACTTGCATCCATAAAACTTCCTGATATCCCTGCACAAATATGAGCACGATAAGATTACAACCAAGTGAAGGTTATGAGTGACTTATTACTGTTTCTTAATTTGACCAATACCTTTGTATTCAGCTCATTGTTTACTTAAAATAAATGTACTCCCATTAAAATACTATTCTAGTTATAATATTAAAAATATTTTAACTTATCTTACTTTTTTCTTTGCAAGTGGATGAATGAGTCACCCTACCTGGATTTTCCTTCACTTGCCACTTCACTCTGCCATATGCAAAGAAAAGAAAAAGCAAGCTAAGTTTTCATTTAATGAAAAGAATTATTGTGCAAAGGGAGTGCACTCATCTAAGCAAACATAAGTTTATAGTACTTAGTATTTTAATTATATTTGACATGGCCTTGACAATTACTCCCTTCAGAATTATGAAAAGAAGATGTCTGTCCATCTGTTATGAACCTCAGCTCCCAAATTAAGTATAAGTGCAAAAGTAACTTCTAAGAAATTCCAATTTGTTATCAAAAGTTGATTCAAGATACAAAACCAACCAAACATCAGTTAATTAGAAAAACTGAAAGCAAGAATCAAATCAAATGTGTATACAAGGTACTAAAAAATAAAACCCCAAAGAGAAAAACAAAACAAACCAAAAAATACTTTAAAAGAAAATATCTCATGTGAAGTACCTCTCCAGGACCACAACAAAGGAAGATATGCCATTCAAATGACATATATTATCTGTTACTTAATTTACTGAAAAGAGCTGAGACAACGTACATTTCATGTTGTCTGAAATCCAACAATTCACGTTTTGTTTTTTTTTACTATGTGTTGCTACAGTGGCAGACAGATACAGGATACAAGAGTTTAGAAACTCTCCCCTTTTATCCACCCAGAGGAAACATACATAATGTCAGCCCCTACTGCTTCACAAAATATCCAAAACACGATCCAGTTCAGAACTACATCCATTCTGACACCTCTTATGTCACAGTTGTATCTCTCCCGAGCTACAAAGCTTTTGGCTGCGAATCACAGGAAGGAAATACAGACTCCATAGGGCCTAGAGAAACCTGTGCAGGTGATTGAGCAGGCAGAAGTTGGGAAAATGACAATACCATTAAGGAATGCCAATTAATGTAATACCCTAAGTGCTGTTTTTCATAGAAACCTGAGAACCTGACCATTAAAGGCCATTAAAAAAAAATAGCAGTAGGGTGTCTTGACCCGAATTCCACTTCAGGGAACTTGCTTACCCAAATTTTCTCTGTAAAGATTAGACATTAATTTCTCTAACATTCTGTCAATAATATCTTCCCAGTTGTCAAAACTTTTACTTGAGAGAAATATTAAATATTTCACATTTTTGTATCACAACAAATCTGTGGCCCAGATACTGAATGCAGAAGGAAAATGGGGGGACCTCAAAGCTTTCAAGCATGAAGTTCTTCTCTAGCAGTGCAAAATAAAATCACAAACTAGTAATTTAAAAGATGCATTTTATAAATATATTGACATGCAGGTGCCACATTTTTGCAAAACTTGAGCAACGCTTTTTTTCCATTCCCCACACATTTTTCTAAGTTAAAATAACTTACTTGCAGATGTCATCTTCTGGGTCCTCAAGCCCAAATCTTTCATCAAAAGTAAGCTGTATCCATACATTTTCGTCTACTGCTACTAATCTCCACACTAGTACAGTATTGCGCGGGTATGTGTGGGGAAACTTGGGGCTGTGAATACTTCCATTAGTAGTCACAGTAATTATCTTCTCATGCTGAGGATCCTGCACACCTAGAGTAAAGAGAGAAAACAGAGCCATCAATACGCATTTCTTTTCCCTTTCCTATAGTGTTTGTATAGTATGCACAGATAAACACACTGTTACTTTGCTTGCTTTTCCTCGTCTTGCAAGAAATTTCTGCTTGGAAAAAATCTAACAATAACCCAAAAGTAGTATTACTTTGCTGGCAAAAAGTTATCCAAACCCATGCCTCAACTGCTGTTCAGAAACCAAAACAGAAGTTCAAGCAGAGGTAAGAGAAACATGAATGTAAAAACGGGAATGCAAGCCTGGGCTCCTCAGAGATGCCCAGCAGCCCAAGTGACCACATGCTGCCACCCGCTGATGGTTTCAGCTCTTTATGATGGGAGAGGGCACGGAAGTCACAGGAGGGCACAAGGAGAGGTCTGATCACACCTACCACAGAAGGCACGGTTTAAATTTGTTTCCTGTTAAAGGAGACCATCCTACATTTATGGAGTCCAATGATGAGGATTTGTGATGGCTGCCTCCTTCCTGAGGACTCTATCAGAACAAAGATATCCCGATACAGAAATGAAACTGGGACGTGCTTGGGAAAGTCACCAAGTGTAAGAAATTAGACATTTACTGACATGACTCAATTGAGGGCTTTCCTCAAAGTTCTTCACAGCATTGTTAGATTAGGCACATGTAAAACTTAATGAGTGTTTTACAACGTGGCAGCAAATGAATTCAAAAGAAAGAAGCCACCTGCATTTGATTTTTTTAAAGCACACAGTAACACTGAAACTACTGAAATGATCTCTTCGGGTTATGAATTTGTAACTGCGAGGAGTTACGGAAAGGAAAGGTTTCCTTCAGTGAGCAGCAGCTGTGCCTTTCAGAGCACCAACATCTCTCTTCACAGTAACTCAAGAAATCTCATTCTCAGGTGCCCAACATTCACAGGAATTCACTTTCAGCAGCTGGGGTGTATGGGGTATTTAGCTGCAAAAAACAGGCACTGACCTAATCTGCATACATTTTAGCATTGTGATGTACAATGACGAGATCTCTAAACTGCAAAATTTAATTCTATTTAATGAAAAATCCCTGCTTATGCTGTAACATGTGACTTTTACTATCTTTAGCTTTTTCTAAAAAACTGTATACAGTCAGGTTTGACTTTTCAATGGTAAATCACAGGAATTCTGAGTTACCCATAATAACTCCAGTAACAAAAGAATGTTGTAGTTTTGTACTGGAGGGTTATTAATATTATTTTGTTTTCAACTATTCATTGTTTCTTGCAGTTAGGTACTTTATCTTGTTTTTCTGATTGTTTTATAAGCAGCATTATGATGAACATTCATTTGAAGCTATGTAAGACATATGATTCAGTCTACAATGAAAATATACACTGCAATAATTGTACCTTATTATAGCTACATATAAAGGCTGACAGCTAAATGAATGTACTGCCAGAAAAGAAGGGCATAGAAATAGCATTGCTATTTTAAAAGAATTAATCTATACTTAAATGTAATTTAAAGTCTGAAAGAGTTTGCCTTCTATTCTGACAGACTGGTGCCTTCCATGTGTGGTACGACAATGGTAGATTTTCTTTTAAGTGGAATTGCTGCTTATATAAAACTGACAGAGTGTGATCTTGCAGAGGACTGACTGTCTTGTGTACAAATAAGACAGGAGAGCATGCAAGTAAAAAAGCACAAAAAAAGGCAAGAGAAACAGATTCCTAATTTAGACACTTCATTGGGCTTTTGTTAGCTGAGTCACAAGCATTTTTCTATAATGTATAGTATGTCAGCTGAGAGCTGCACGCTAAACACAGGAGCCAACAATAATAACAATTACTTTCCCAGAGATTAGTGCACCAGAGTGCTTTTTCCAAAGTATGCAAAGGACCACCATTTCAGACAAACAACGTGTGGTGTCTGATGACACTATAATCAGTGGTTTTGTCTTTAAAAGCACACACAGGATTACAAACCATGTTATATTTCACAGCACATTAGGAGTTTTCTTTTGTATCATCAGGACAATGATAACAACAGCAAGTAAGGATTGTAAATAGTCCAAGCATATGAAATAGAAAGTCAATATAAAAGAGCAAAGGAAAGAAAAGGCATATGGCAATTTAGTGAACAGAAGTTGCAGCATCTCCAGTATCTTCAGCTCCTCCTTTTATAAAGGAAAAATACCTATTTACTTTAGCACACAACAGTGTTCCATGGACATATCAAATTCCCACACACAACACTTGCTCCATTTCAAATATTTGCTCTCACACAGTGGAATTTCTTCTCTTACAAAAGAATTATTTTGTATGACTACAAAGGCAAGTAATTGCTGTCACTGGAGAATGGAGCTTGTTATTTGTCTTCAGATAAGCCGCAATATTCCTTTTTATCCATTCTACATAAATCGTACCATTGTACCACAAAACGCTAGCCTTTTCCTACTGAGTGCATGCATATTCTGAACATTTCTGTTGAGGAAATTGCATGAAGAGCACAGCTACCTGAACACGGCTAAGATGACACTATAGCCTCTATTCTTTGCAGAATGATTTTGCAATTCCTGGCTTTATTTTAGGGATAAATCAGTCTAAGCACCACTTAAAAAGGAGTAACAAGTTCAGTCCAATTTACAGAGCTCAGCTGTAAAACTCCAAAGCTACATACATTGCTGCCATGATCTGTCTAGCTTTCTATTAACAACCATCCTCCCCTGCTCTCCCCCCAAAAAAAAGGAAAAACAAAATTATTACTGTACAGAGAGCATTGAACAACCCTGAAGAATCAGTTTAGGCAAGGACTGAGGTAGGCAAGGAACCATCTCAGCCAGGGGACAACAATTCCAAGCAAGGGAAATGGGGACAGACAAGAACCAAAACAATGTATTTGAAAGTTCATCAGAAGATGGGCAACTGAGATCACCTGCAGGAGAAAGTCCTGGAAGCAGGGCAGACTAGATAGGAAAAATCCCTAAGCTGACCCAGGGATATGACACGGTTACGCTTATTAGGAAAGGACAGCACACACTTAACAAAGCCTGAAGTTGAAGAATGAGTCGCTGCAGTTGTCTTTGATGTGGTACAAGATGCTATCACCAGATTTATATATCTATCAATGTAGAAAGTCTGCCCCTGAAAATTACAAGATTCCAGGCATACTGAAAGCACGGCAGTGCCTAACCCTTCCACCGACATGGTAATGCAGATGAAAAACCACGGTATCACCAAACAGATCAGCAGATGCCACTGTAAACTGAAATTAAACCCACCGACTAGACAAGCTCATTCCTGCCTACTTCAAAGTAGGTCTCTTCCCCCATGGGCACAACACATTTCACAAAGATCAGCGCTGACACTTTTTAAATATAGCAAATACCTCTTTCTTAGAACATTGTAATCACTACATTTTAGCAAGGGTCATGGGTAAAACTCAGACAAATCACATGCAGTTCAGGAGAGAGACAAGGAGCTGCAGAAGAAGAGAGGAGCACTGAAAGTGAGTAACGGCCTCAGCACAGATTCACTTAAGGGCTTATTCACTTAAAAGATCACATAGTACTGGTAAAATTGCTTATTAAAACTTTTTGCTAAACCTACATTAATTTCACAATAGGACAAGACGAGAAGACATGCACTGGTAATATATTATTTGGCGTATTTCATTTTATAGCCCTTAGTTATAAAAATCAACTTTTAGGCCTTCAGAAACAGCATTAGCTTACTTGTGGCTATCACCACTTAAAAAAAAAAAAGCCAAATTCCAACATAAGAAAAGTTTAAACTCTAAATATTTACCAATTATTATTAGAGCTTTTTCAGATATATAGTAATGTTGCAGTATGTGTGACTCTTCTGCTTTAAAACTCAGAAACAAAAGATGACATTAACTACTCATTCCCTACCACAGAACCTCAGAGGGAAGCAGGTTTTTTTAATTAAAGTAATCGAAAGGATTTGCTGACAACATTCCCATATAATTTTTACAACGCTCCACATATGTAAAGAAAAAGAGACTTTGTAGACGAAATTCTTTGAAATGTAATATAACATGCTATTTCTTCCTCTTCCACCAGACATTCAAAAAGCAGCAAGCCTATTTTCAAAAGTAGTAGCTCAAAGCAGAGAAGTACCTCTTTCTGTCCTCTGTCTCTGGCTCAGTTGCCTCCAGGCACTTTGTAGCTATTATCTCAATGTAACAGTCAAAATAAAGTTTAACTCTTTTGCTGGGTACAACGGCAAAGCTGGAAAATGGTCTGTTACTGGCAGAAAATTGAAGACAAATACATTGGTTTGGGATCATTGGCATGTAAAGTGGATATCAGGGCAAAGCCACTCAAAATCATGGAAACACTGCATTGAAGGGACCTCTGGAGACCTCTAGTCCCAGCTCCTGCTTCCTGCTCACACCATAGCAGGTCTCCTCTTTGAGGGTTTGCATTTTCTACTTGATACTCAAAAACCCCTGTGGATGAAACTACACAAGGCCTTGGGACAAGCTGTTCCAGTGCTCTACTATCTCCCTTCCTAGTGTCCCAAGTTGCAATTTTTAGGCATGGGGATTTCAGGGTTTGCTTTCTTTTTACACTCTGTGCTGCTATCAGGAAGAGTTTAACTTGGTCACCTGTGCAACTGCTCTTCAGGCAAGTGGGACACTACTATTAGACTGCCCCGTAGCCTTCTGTTCCCCAGACTGAAAAAGCACAGCTTCCTCATCCTCCACTCCCTGCCTGCCACCAACTTGATGCTGAGCCTTTGAGCCTGGCAGTGCTGCCAGTTTTCAACATAGCTAACAAGCAAGTCTGTTCTTCCAAACCATTATGCCTCAAGTACCACAAGAAATGCTTTTGAAGCACACAGAGTTTGTTTTCATCACCACCTTTTCAAGTAGTGAGCAAAGAAATCTTCATACAGGGTTGCTGTATCTATCTCCTGAGATAGCTTTCCTAAGCGCTATGGTTTGCGGTTTTCTAGGTTAAATCTCGGAGGCACATCTAGACTTCTGTGGATTTTCCA